CACGTGTGTCTTTGCCACCACTAGTTGAGGTTCTTCTTTGGTTTCATCCGTATATCTGTTATTTAGTATATATCCACGTTCTACCCATTTCTTGAAGTGGATATCAAATCAAGGTCATTGGAGTCTTCCAAACTTTTAATGATTTTCGCCACTTCAGGATCCGCTAATAGTTCTTCTCGGACGTCTGCGGCGCTGAGTGTAAGAAAGTCGATCGAAACTAGGTTTATTCTGATGTTACCGTAGGTGTCGTCTCCCTCACATGGTGGTCTAGACAGTGTGTCGGCTATGACATTCTTCTTATAATTCTGTTCAGCAGGTGTCAGCTGTCTAAAAACATATTCTACTGGGCGCTCATCTGGTCCCTCCTCCTAGAGTAGACACGCTCCCAAAGCGTAGTCACTAGCATTCGTTCGTAGGATGTATGGCAATGTGCTGTCTGCTTGCCTAAGGATTGGGGCGAAACATAGAATCGTCTTAAGCTTGCTGAAAGCTGCAGCTTGATCTGGTCACACTTGATGTTTTTCTTGGTCAGTGTTGTTAGTGGCTTAGCAACATCGGCGAAGTTTTTAACAAAACCACGAGCAGGTTTGGATAAATCCTAACAGTTGCTTGACGTTTTTTGGTAGTAACATGTTCATGATGGCAGCGACTTTATCTTCACATGGATGTATTCCTTCCGTAGAGAGAATGTGTCCTAGATAATGGACGGCTTCACAGATGAATAATGAACATTTGGGTCGATTAAGTGTGCAAGTTGCAGGAATACTTTCCTTAGGTCAGTCAAATGGGCTTCGAAAGACGATGATATGATGATCAAGTCATCAAGGTATGCCAACATGGAGACCTCTCGTATTCCTGACCTAAACCTATCGATGAGGCGCTGAAAAGTACTGGGCGCGTTGCGGAGTCCAAATGGTATGCGCTTGTAACTAGAGGTGGGCCAACCTGCGATTTTAATGGAGCAGTGACAAGACGTGACTGCTCCAGTCGTGTCACTGTGACAAATAGCAGTGATTTTTTGGAGCAGTTTTACCTTAGTTGGCGGCCGTACTGCTAATATTATGTTAATGCTACATCGCAATATGGCATAATCGCAGTCCGCAGTCACGGCCGGGAGAGATGTTCCAGTTTCTAGCCTGCCCTCTACAGTAACAGTTTCTATTTAGCGTGACTGCGATGCGATTTATAACATTATATTATTAAATTTGCATCACAGCTCCAGTTTTGTCCGCGCTGCATCGGTCGGAGCTTTAAGCGGGCAGTGACAAAATGTCACTGCTACTTGACTGAGACTGGAGCAGGCTGTGACTGTGACAGACAAGTAGCAGTGACAAAGTCACAGTTCGTGAAATCGCAACCCACCTCTACTTGTAACGGTAGGTACCGAAAAGGCAAACGAATGCAGTTTTGTCCGTATCTGAAGGCTTCACGCTGATTAGATATCCGTTTCTGAGGTCTAAGGTCGTGATGTAACCCCTTTCGTTAGCTGCGTGCAAAACATCGATTCTTGGGATGGGGTATCTGTCTGGTCTGGTGATGGCGTTTAAGGCTCGGTAGTCTATCGTGAGACGTACCTCGTAGTTCTTTTTGAGCACGAGGACTACGGGCGCTGCGTACGGTGAGTCGCTTCGGTGATAATTCACACAAAAAGTACAGAAAACCAGTGATAACTCACGCAGTACCTAACGCCTCACAGTTGTTCACAATTCGGCTGTTTCTCGGTTAGAGTTGCAAAATTACCGGTAAAATAAATGTCGGTAAAATTACCGTACGTAATATTACCGGTAAAATTGGTAAAATTGAAAAATAATAACTTGGTTCAGGACTTCAGGAGTCTTATCACAGAAATCAACACAGTCATTGTCTGCCGTTGTCGACATACTTTACCTTCTTCTAACATTAGTGCTTTCTATTTTTTAAAAATAGAGACAAATTTGAGTTTAACACACATCATTGGTTTCCCTAATAATTTTGAAGCCTCTACTGCTATACGTGCTACGCCACCCGTGTTTATAATTCTAAGACAATTTTACCGATTTTACCAATTTTACCGGGATATGGGTAATATTACATAAATTACCGGTAATTTTACCTTCGCAACTCTATTCTCGGTGATGACTCCCCTACTAAATGAACGCGAAAACACCATGGGTTTCGTCGAACAACTACACGAAAATCGCGATCGGCACACAATAATCACTCTACTAGTCTTGAAACTCACCGTGGCCCCACGTTGGGCGCCAATTTGTAAGATAATTCTTAGGGAAGTTGAGTACACGGGAAGAATTAAACGGGAACCGATAGAGAAAACTGATTACTGTTTATTGGTCTTGTATTAAGAAAGAAAACGAAATGAAAATTTGCAATATTGCACTATCAGCGTTGACATCATACAGGGGACCAGCCGATCAGTGGCATGGGGATTAGGGAATTTTGTTACAATCTTCCCCTGTGCTCCACATAATCGTCCCGAATGTGGCGTACATCAGAAGGTGGTGTGGATGGTGCTGGTTTCTCGCGTGGACGACCTCGCTTTCTAATAGGTCACGTAGGTTTGCAATAGTCCAGCAGGCTTAAAGTGGGACACCTTGTATTTTTGGCACTGGAGGCACCTGCTCACGTAAGCTATGATTTCTTTTCTCATACCAGGCCAGAAATATCGGAATGCTATCGCTGGTACGTTTTCTCACTTCCATAGTGGCCCGTAGTCTCGAAATCGTGGTACTAGGTGAGCACGTGTGTCTTTGCCACCACTAGTTGAGGTTCTTCTTTGGCTTCATCCGTATATCGATACAGAACACTGTTATTTAGTATATATTCACGTTCTGTCCATTTCTTGAAGTGGATATCAAGGTCATTGGAGTCTTCCAAACTTTTAATGCTATCCGCTAATAAATAGTTCTTCTCGGACGTCTGCAGCGCCGAGTGTAAGAAAGTCGATCGAAACTAGGTTTATTCTGATGTTATCGTCGGTGTCGTCTCCCTCACATGGTGGTCTAGACGGTGTGTCGGCTATTTTAGCTATGTACAAAAAAACACAACACACATGACTCTGAGAATATGGAACTTTTTACCAAATAAAATACGGCAGCTTCCTCCAAATGAAATAGGGCCTAAAATTAAAAAATTTCTAGAAAACAAAGCTTACTACAGTCTTAAAGAATATTTTGAGGAAGATCTTAGTCAAATAAAATAAACGATTTAAACTGTGATAGATAGACTGATTTTGTGACTGTGCCTATAAAAATTATTTTAATTATAATTGTTGTATGAGTATTATTGTGAAAGTCGGTTTTTAAATGTCTGACGTGCAATATTTTAATTTTAATTTTAATGGAAAATGTACTCAACGATGACTTCTACTGGAGAGTAACTATTTAAACGTCTTATATCAATGTTAATTTATATTTATACTATAAAATTAATTAATTATATTTTATTATATTGTATTGTATTATATTATATTGACGAGTTCTACACCAAAAATGGTATACAAAATATTGTGAAGAACATAAAATGAATAAACTATGACATTCTTCTTACCACCGATGTACTCAATTTTGATGTCATAGGGCAGTGCCCAACGAACAAGTCTGCCACTTGGTGACCTGAGTGTCATAAGCCATTTCAAGGCTTGATGATCGCTTTGCACAATAGTTTGGCATCCTTATAGGTAAACCCTGAACTTCTTGAAAGCCCATACTACTGCAAGAGCTTCGGGCTCTGTGGTATTTTAATTCTGTTCAGCAGGTGTCAGCAGTCTAGAAGCATATTCTACTGGGCGCTAATCTGGTCCCTCCCCCTGGAGTAGACACGCTTCCAAAGTGTAGTCACTAGCATCCGTTCATAGGATATATGGAAATCTGCTGTCTGCTTGCCTCAGGATTGGGGCGGAACATAGAATTGTCTTAAGCTTAATGAAAGCTGCAGCTTGATCTGGACCCCAGGTCCACTTGACGTGTCCTAGATAATGGACGGCTTCACAGGTGAATGAACATTTAGGTTGATTAAGTGTTAACTTGTACTGCGCAAGTCGTAGGAATACTTTCCCTAGGTCGGTCAAATGGGATTCGAAAGACGATGACATGATGATCAAGTCATCAAGGTATACCAACAAGGAGACGTCTTGTATTCCTGACCTAAACCTATTGATGAATTACCGGTAATTTCACGTAATATTACCGGTAAATTGGTAAAATTGAAAAATAATAACTTTGGTTTAGGAGTCTTATCACAGAAATCAACATAGTCATTTTCTGCCGTTGTCGACATACTTTACCCACTCCTAACATTAGTGTTTTCTATTTTTCAAAAAGAGAGACAAATTTAACACACATTATTAGTTTCCCTAATAATTTTGAAGCCTCTACTGCTACGAGTACTATGACACCCGTGTTTATAATTCTTGAACAATTTTACCGATTTTACCAATTTTACCGGGATATGGGTAATATTACGTAAATAACCGGTAATTTTACCTTCGCAACTCTATTCTCGGTGATGATTCACGTACTAAACGAGCGTGAAAAACACCATGGGTTTCGTCGAACAACTACACGAAAATCGCGATCGGCACACAATAATCACTCTACCAGTCTTGAAACTCACCGTGGCCCCACGTTGGGCGCCAATCGAGGCCAATTTGTAAGATGATTCTTAGGGAAGTTGAGTACACGGGAAGAATTAAACGGGAACCGATAGAGAAAACTGATTACTGTATACTGGTCTTGTATTAACAAAGAAAACGAAATGAAATTTGCGTTATTGCACTATCAGCGTTGACATCTCGTAGTTGACAGGCCGTATATCAGGTTGACATTATACAGGGGACCAGCCGATCAGTGGCGTGAGGATTAGGGAATTTTGTTACAATAATTATTTCTGTACCGAATTAAACTGCGGGTAAGATGCATTTCCCTGAAATCCCTGTATATTTTGGGAAAATTAACTGCAAAGACATTTTCTATTATTCTATAGAAAGGCCAATCTTTCTATTTCAGACGCTCCAGCCAAATCACTTTGACAAAAGCGAATAGAGATATAATGTTAAGAACAAGGAGACGTGATAACAACGTCAAGCCAAACAGAAGGTAAGATAATGGCAATTTAATTTGAATACTAAACATGAAGGTAAATTAAAACATATTGTGCATTTTTTTTTTTTAAATTTCTTCAAAATTTCTTGGCTACATTATTTTGAAATCATGTTATAATACACATAAAACTTTGAGTTATTATGATGTAATATACACATGAACAAACATTTTTTTTGAATAATATTTTGGCTCATTTACCCTAAATTGCACGCTATCTTAAATGTTTAACAAAGACAAAATCTAACTTTTTTAATTTTGCAGGGATTCCAGTTTTAAGTCTAGGTAATGCAGTAGAGTTTGAATGGCGCTTTTACTGCTTATAAAACATTAACCTAAAACCCGTATTACATCTGTGTATTTTTCCGTGTATTTATTCATGTAGTTCAGGGTGCCAACATTATTTTGTTTTTCATAATGTTGATTTATGTTGCGATTGAAGTTTTTTGGTTGTCACCCTGAACTACATGAATAAATACACAGAAAAATACACAGATGTAATACGCGCATTAGAATATTTTGATAATATATCTAATATACCAGAAGAGGAATAATACTATAGTGATCTATTCAAAAATTACGAAACCTCATTACGCTCTCAGTACATGAATAAGTATTAAACTCTTCTGAAGTATTGAATATATTATACATATTGCTTTTCAGTTAGACCAGCAAGTTTTATTGAGTTTTTATTTTTCATCGAAGATATTTACATCGTATGGAGAACTAACAATTTAGTTCAAAGAAGTCTTTGGGTCAATTTAAAACAAAAACCTAATGAAACATCGAAATCCAATTAAAAAGTCAATTTGCATTTGCAAAAGAGCATTCCCAAAAGGGATAAAAACCATTTTATTTTTTGTTCTGTATTACTCTTCTATGTGAAATGGTTGTTGATTCTCCAAGGGAAATATCCTAACTAAAAGTTTGATTAGCTTTAGTTTTATCTTTTCTAACCGCACGCTCAATACCAGAGAGTTGTTATTAGCATACTGGAATTTCTGCTTTTAGTTTTACATTTTTCTGAAAAAAAGAAAACGTACCTATTTGAAGAAGTAATTGGCATTAAAACAGAAACATGAACTGGGAATGCTTTTATTCTAATTTTTGAGTGATTCAGAATAATCTAATTTTGTTCGTTATTTTTAGGTTAGATAGAAAATCTTCGAGGGGAATGTTGTACGAAAATGAGGAGCTCAGATTGAAAACTATCAATATCAATGCGGAAATTGAGAGAGGTAATTTTTGGACTCTTAAGGTGGGTTTAGCCAACACTTAATGGATAATGCACAATTTTAATTCATAATCGATAATTTTTAAAACTTCACATTTAAATACACCCGTTTATACAACGCATAGTGGATATTGGATAATTTAGTGTATAATGCGTAATTCATAAAGTTGGCCAACTTTTAACTTTTACGAATTATCCATTATGCATTAAGCAAAACTTTGTTTTTGTTTTGGTTTTGCTTTATAACCTCAAAATCTTGTTGTGTTTTTTCCTGTTGTTTTCGATGATTTTTCATTTAAAATCGAATTTTCACATTTTCAATAATACAAATTGGGTTTTTCCAAAGAGTATAAAGCCTAATTTATTATTTATTCATTATTTATTATTTTTATAAAAAATAACAAGTGTCAAACTTAGTTGTCTTGTCAATTCTTAATGCACAAAAATTATACGTTGTATAAGACCTTAGTATAAACACCTCTTTTCTCTTATGCATTACTCGTTATGAATTACACATTATCAATTATGAATTAAAATTGTGCATTATCCTTTAAGAGTTGGCTAAACCCACCTTTACACTTACAAAACATCTAAGTACACAAAAATAGGTTTCAAATTATATTATATTTAGTAAAATTTTTATAAATCAATTCACAGGCTTCAGCAATAAAATACCTCCATGAATCATTTCAAAAATAAATTGTACAAAAATGTATTATTTTAACAAACATCGTTTTCATTTTTAATAAAGACAAATCGTGTATCGATGTTATGACAAAACTACAAATTGTAGAATGTCCCAGGAATCATTTTTAATTTGAATTATTTTTACACTGTTACATTTGGACAAATCCCAAATTTTTATATACTAGATTCTTTTTTCCGGTCAAGGTTCTGTGAATTTCGGAAAAATTAAGTCAATGATGATTTTGTCCCATTTTTGAGCATTATTTTGATGAATCAAGGTTACATTATTTGAGAATTTATTTTTAAAATTCCTTGCTTTTTATGTAAATTACTGTGTTGCCCAAGTTCAATACTTCAAAATATTAGGAATGTTTTTTTGCAAGGGGTAAACCACCATCCCAGAATATGTGTTAAATTCCTCAATGATGAGAAGCTCATTTTCCCAAAATTTCAAATTTTTCCAGTGGAAAACAGCAACATGAAGAATCTTGGAAATCAATCTACAAAGACTGGATTAGTTGAAAATACAGTCTCACACATTTCAGAGTTTTCCTGGAAAACTAGTGAAGGAAAAATTTTGAAACTTTTTTCACGTAAAGAGGAAGGTCTGAGACTCATTTTCCCATAATTTTAAATTTTTCCAGTGGAAAATAACAACATGAAGAATCTTGGAAATCAACCTACAATAACTGAGTTAATTAAAAATACTGTCTCACACAATCCAAAGTTTTTCTGGAAAACTAGTGAAGGAAAAATTTTGAAACTTTTTGCATGTAAGGAGGAAGCATGTGAAAGGTTAAAGGTTCATTTTCCCAAAATTTCAAATTTTTCCAGTGGAAAATAACAACATGAACAATCTTAGAAATCAACTTACAAAAACAGAAATAATTGTTAATACAGTCTCACACAATTCAAAGTTTTTCTAGAAAACTAATTAAGGGAAAATTTTGAAAATTTTTACATGTGAAGAGGAAGGTCAGAGGCTCATTTTCCCAAAATCTCAAATTTTTCCAGTGGAAAATAACAACATGAAGAATCTTAGAAATTAACCTCCAATAACTGAATTAATTGAAAATACAGTCTCACACATTTCAAAGTTTTCCTGGAAAATTTTGAAACTTTTTGCATGTAAAGAGGAAGGTGAGAAGCTCATTTTCCCAAAATTTCAAATATTTCCAGTAGAAAATAACAACATGAAGAATCTTGGAAATCAACTTACAAAAACTGAATTAGTTGAAAATACCATCTCACACATTTCAAAGTTTTCCTGGAAAACTAGTGAGAGGAAAAATTTGAAACTTTGTGCACGGGAAGAGTAGAAAGGTTAAAGGTTCATTTTCCCAAAATTTCAAATTTTTCCAGTAGAAAATAACAACATGAGGAATATTGGAAATCAACCTACAATAATTGAATTAATTAAAAATACAGTCTCACAAATTTCAAAGTTTTCCTAGAAAACTAGCAAAGGGAAAATTTCGAAAACTTTTGTATGTGAAGAGGAAGGTGAGAAACTCATTTTCCCAAAATTTCAAATTTTTCCAGTGGAAAATAACAACATGAAGAATCTTGGAAATCAACTTACAAAAACTGAATTAGTTGAAAATACCGTCTTCAGATATCGTAGTTTTCCTGGAAAACTAGTGAAGAGAAAATTTTGAAACTTTTCGCATGTAAAGAGGAAGGTAAGAAGCTCATTTTCCCAAAATTTTTAATTTTTTCAGTGGAAAATAAAAACATGAACAATCTTGGCAATCAACTTACAAAAACAGAAATAATTGTTTATACAGTCTCGCACAATTCAAAGTTTTCCTGAAAAACTAATTAAGGGAAAATTTTGAAAATTTTTACATGTGAAGAGGAAGGTCAGAGGCTCATTTTCCCAAAATTTTAAATTTTTCCAATGGAAAATAACAACATGAAGAATCTTAGAAATTAACCTCCAATAACTGAATTAATTGAAAATACACTCTCACACATTTCAAAATTTTCCTGGAAAACTAGTAAAGGGAAAATTTTGAAACTTTTTGCATGTAAAGAGGAAGGTGAAAAGCTCATTTTCCCAAAATTTCAAATTTTTCCAGTGGAAAATAACAACATAAAGAATCTTGGAAATCAACTTACAAAAATTGAATTAGTTGAAATTACCGTCTCACAGATATCAAAGTTTTCCTGGAAAACTAGTGAAGAGAAAATTTTGAAGGGGAGAAGCTCATTTTCCCAAAATTTCAAATTTGTCCAGTGGAAAATAACGACATGAACAATCTTGGAAATCAACTTACAAAAACAGAAATAATTGTTAATACAGTCTCACACAATTCAAAGTTTTTCTGGAAAACTGATTAGGGGAAAATTTTGAAATTTTTTACATGTGAAGAGGAAGGTGAGAAGCTCATTTTCCAGTAAAAAATAACAACATGAAGAATCTTGGAAATCAACTTACAAAAACTGAATTAGTTGAAATTACCGCCTCACACATTCCAAAGTTTTCCTGGAAAACTAATGAGAGGAAAAATTTGAAACTTTGTGCATGAGAAGAGTAGAAAGGGTAAAGGTCCATTTTCCCAAAATTTCAAATTTTTCCAGTTGAAAATAACAACATGAAGAATATTGGAAATCAACCTACAATAATTGAATTAATTAAAAATACAGTCTCACAAATTTCAAAGTTTTCCTGGAAAACTAGTAAAGGGAAAATTTCGAAAACTTTTGCATGTGAAGAGAAAGGTGAGAAACCCATTTTCCCAAATTTCAAATTTTTCCAGTGGAAAATAACAACATGAAGAATCTTGGAAATCAACTTACAAAAACTGAATTAGTTGAAAATACCGTCTTACAGATATCAAAGTTTTCCTGGAAAACTAGTGAAGAGAAAATTTTGAAACTTTTTGCAAGAAGACGGAAGGGGAGAAGCTCATTTTCTCAAAATTTCCAATTTTTACAGTGGAAAATAAAAACATGAACAATCTTGGAAATCAACTTACAAAAACAGAAGTAATTGTTAATACAGTCTCGCACAATTCAAAGTTTTCCCGGAAAACTAATTAAGGGAAAATTTTGAAAATTTTTATATGTGAAGAGGAAGGTCAGAGGCTCATTTTCCCAAAATTTCAAATTTTTCCGGTGGAAAATAACAACATGAAGAATCTTAGAAATTAACCTCCAATAACTGAATTAATTGAAAATACAGTCTCACACATTTCGAAGTTTTTCTGGAAAACTAGTAAAGGGAAAATTTTGAAACTTTTTGCATGTAAAGAGGAAGGTGAGAAGCTCATTTTCCCAAAATTTCAAATTTCCAGTAAAAAATAACAACATGAAGAATCTTGGAAATCAACTTACAAAAACTGAATTAGTTGAAAATACCGTCTCACACATTTCAAAGTTTACCTGGAAAACTAGTGAGAGGAAAAATTTGAAACTTTGTGCATGTGAAGAGTAGAAAGGTTAAAGGTTCATTTTCCCAAAATTTCAATTTTTTTCAGTAGAAAATAACAACATGAGGAATATTGGAAATCAACCTACAATAACTGAATTAATTGAAAATACACTCTCACACAATTCGAAGTTTTTCTGGAAAACTAATGAACGGAAAAATTTGATACTTTTTACTTATAAAGAGGAAGGTTAGAAACTCATTTTCCCAAAATTTCAAATTTTTCCAGTGGAAAATAACAACATGAAGAATCTTGAAAATCAGCCTACTAAAACATTGTTTGGAATTTTTTAAATTTGGACCTGTAAATCATGAAGTGTAATTTTGGGAGAATTTCTTTATTGAAAATGAATGTCCAACGTTCAACACAAAACTAGATTATTTTTTAAATTTCCATTTATTAGTGTTTCTTATAATAAGAATGTGAACCTCAGTGACGTCATGACTACAATTTCCTTTAAATTGCTCACAAATTCCTCATAAACTTCTCCGAATTCTCATAAATTCCGATGAGTTCCTTCAAATTCCCCATAAATTCCTCACATTTTTGGCAAAGAATTCCTAGGTGGTTTATCCCTTGTTTTTTTGTTATTCTGATGAGCAAGAATTTTATTACGAGAGCTTCTTGAATTGGATTATTTTTCAGGTCAATCTGACATAAAGAAATTGAAACGTGAGAACGAAATGCTGAAAAAAGAAATATGGTGCCTGCGAGACGAATACGAAAAACTAGACAAATTGCTCAAAGACAAAAAGATCGACTTTTCAGCTTCGTCTACAACGTACAGTAGTTCTAGCGAATCGGTAAGTTTTCGATTTACTCCTATACTTCAAAATCCATTAGGACGATTTTATTCTAATAGGAAAGTTGCTCAAGTTGTACTGAAGAATCTGAAGAAGTCGAAACGTCGCAAAATTTGAAAAACGTCCAAAGAACCAATATGAAAAATATACGCGATCAATTCGATCATTTGTCCATAGTCACCGAGGAAACTTCGTGCTGTGAAAATTCCGACAAAAATTCTACAAGGTTGGATGATTGATTCTATAAAATCTTCCTATTGTATATTATTATTTATTGTTATTATCTATAGGCATTCATTTCCCAACGACCAAAATGACAACCTGATGTGGACTTACGACAATAATGACGTCATAAAGCCTGACCAAAGCTATCCCATTTACGGTACAGTCGTGCAACAAAACAAATCTCAAACTTTGCCCAATCAAAATATGCCCGATATGAATTATTTTACTCCGATTCAACATTCGAAGAGCTGCGATGATAATCATTTTAATCAGGTAAGAATTTTCATTGCAATGAAATTTTATGATGTTTTTTATTGACTCAAAAAAAACTGTTTGAAAATTATTACCAGAGGAAATTGTGGTGGGTGGTCGCGTTTTATATAATGTTTATGGCTGCCATCAAAAGACTTACAGTGATACGAACCGATCGGTGCCAGATCTGGGTGGTCTTAATAGCACCTTGGAGATAAATACTCTTGCAAACAACGGTAGCTTTATATGGAATATTTAGACTTTGAACTCTTCAAAATGTGATGTGGATGATTTACTATATAGGTGTGATTGGTTTTTCTTAGAGTAGGTAGGTATTCAAAAAATTCTAATAATTCAATGTATTCTTGAGAAGTTTCTCCTTCGATTTGGTTATTTAAATTGAATTTAGCTCGTTTCCAACACATTTTTCCATGCAAAGTAAACCTTTGTTGATTTGTCGAGAATTCTCTATCTATACTAATAGTCAGGGTTGGCAGAAACCCGAGTTTTTGAAATTTCCTATTGGGTCTTTGGGGGTTATTGTGAACATTTTAATTTTGTTTCAACACTTTTGCAACTAAGAAGCTTCAAAATCGAATTTATCGATCATTGAAAGTTTTCCAAAAATGACAGTGAGACAGTTTTTGCCTCACAGCTCCTTTCCGCTGAAAATTTTAGTTTTCTATCCGTAATTGAAAAAAAGTTATGACTTTTCAACGTTTTCCAAAATCTAAATCTTAGTACTAAAATGATGAAATTTCAATTTTTTTTTTGTTGAGGTTTTGTGTCTTAATGGTCCCCCCAAACTCCATACACTAAATTATTCAGAGATTTGGAGTCGGATTCTATGAAAAAAGGCACTCAGAAAAATTGAAAAAATGATAAATCATCCCAAATTGCTTTACACGATTTCATTTCTGGAAATATAAGTGCAAATGAGCTGAAATTTTCAGGGATTGTAGTCCTCTACTGGAATAAGAATCGCTGAAAATTTCAGCTTTCTATCTTTAATAGAAAAAAAGTAATGACCTTCCAAAGTTTTCCATAATCTAAATAATAAGGTAGGTACCTTCTTATTAAAAGGATGAAATTCCAATTTTTTTTTTGTTGAGATTTTGTATCCTAATGGTCAATTAACATCCCCCAAACTCCATACACTAAATTATTCTCAGATTTGCAGCCGAAATCTATGAAAGAAGGCACTCAGAAAAATTGAAAAATTGATAAATCACCCCAAATTGCTTAACACGAATTTATCTCAGGAACTGTAAGTTCAAATGAGTTGAAATTTCCAGGGATTGTAGTCCTCTACTGGAATAAGAATCGCTGAAAATTTCAGCTTTATATCTTTAATAGAAAAAAAGTTATGACCTTCCAAAGTTTTCCATAATCTAAATCATAAGGTACCTTCTTACTAAAACGATAAAATTTCAATTTTTTTTTTTGTGGAGATTTTGTGTCCTAATGGTCATTTGTGATGCCTCAAACTCCATATACTAATTTGTTCTCAAATTTGAAGTCAAAATCTATGAAAAAAAGGCACTCAGAAAAATTGAAAAATTGATACTTAAATCACCCCAAATTGCTTAACACGATTTTATCTCAGGAACTTTAGCTTTCTATCTTCAAAAGAAAAAAAGTTATGACCTTTCAAAGTTTTCCAAAATCTAAATCATAAGATAGGTACCTTCCGAGGGGTGTGACACCTCTGAAATCAGGTGTACACTTTGTTCAGTCACATAAATCAATAGAATTCAATGAAATCTGTGAAATCAAGCAAAATCACATTAAATCCCTTAAAATCAATTAAATCTTGAAAAATTCCCTAAAATCAATGTAAATCAATTATATCCAAAAAATCAATCGAAATCAAGAAAATCTCTGTAAATAAATCACTTAAAATCATCACAAATCACATAAAATTTGTTGAAATCCTGAAATCGTTGTTTTCTAAAGCAGTGCCTCTCCAATAAAATATTAAAAATTCGCGCCTTTGATGTTTTGTTGTTTTCGTGGTTGTTTATTCTTGCCCAATTATTATACATAGTCTTTACACAATCTTACACAATCAGTCACAATCGCTCACAATCGTGACACAATCATTCACAATCATACACAATCATTGGGTACATTCAGGCTGTGCCAGCGGCTAAGTTCAGCTACTCAGGAGGGACTTTATTCTCGAAACAGGGGAGCAGCGTTCTCATGAGCACGAAGGTTCTGTCTTCGTCGCCCGCATTCATATTTCGATAACACTGACAATGACAGAACAATCGTTCTCATGAGAACGCTGTTCCTCGGTTTCGAGAATAAAGTCCCTGCTGAGTTGCTGAGCTACTCCACTGGCACCGCCTGAATGTACCCAATCATAATCTTAGCAAATTTCTTTAAGGTGGCAACAGTACCCCGCTGTTTCTTTGGTTGCCTATCTTTTGAAAAAGGTCTTGCTATGGATTTTTTCCCAAAAATAAAAATAACCACGCTAAAAATTGAAAAATACTTATGTAACTCTGAGGGTAACTCTTTTGCTATTGGAGTTAGAAGGATGCGATTTTCGCGAACGCTGGCTAATTTTTTGTCAAAAGAAAGATGGCGCTAACAGAATTGTATCATCGCCATTTTTGTTTTTCAGATACAACATGTTTTTGAAAATGTTGGATTTCGGGCATTGAGGTAGAATAATAAGGAGGCGAAATGGGGAGAAAAAAGTGTATCCACTTCCGCCATATTGTTACTACACTTTTATCTGAGAGTCTGTCATTTTTGTCATAGCAACGCTCCAGAATTACATCAGGGCTGCATTTTCCATCCGAAGATCTTTTAGATGCGAAGAAGTGATAGTATTTAAATTATGAACCAAACACCCCAAAAATACGTTTTTTCAAATGATACACCCTATATATTAAAAACTCATTGGGTAGTGTGAATAAAAATTCAGTAAAAGCTTTATCTTGCATTTCCTAAGCAAATACTTACTTTGCAGTGAATAAAAATGAGTATTAGCTTAAACTTAAATTTCAGTTAGTAAAAGCTATAGTTTTTAGCATTGTCTTTAAATGGTGTGAATAAAAGTAAGCAATTCCTAATTATATGAAGGAAAAGCTTACATTTTCGCAAGCATGGTAAATGTTGGCTTAAACATTTTAGTGGTGTTTGGAAGTTTGGCAGAAATGGCGGCGTTTATAAATATAAGGACTGCGAAATTTTATCCTGAAAGAAAAGAAAGTCGTGCCGAAGAATACCACAGTCTGTCAATTTGAGGTTGGCTCAAGATTATTCAGGAACCTCCTCCTCCAACAACGCACTTATAGAATTGTCTGAATCACTATTCTTTTTCACCTTAAAGCGCTGGCGTTCGATAACGTTACTTGTTTAAAAGAGAGAAGTTTACCAGCACTCAACTGTTGCCAATAGTTGAGTAATTGGGAAAACACGCTTAGAGAAATCGACAGCAGCTGATAAAAAGCGGTTTTTGCTGAGCGCCGCTGAACGCGATTGTTTTTCCCAACCACTTAACTGTAGGCAACAGTTGAGTGCTGGTGATCGTACCTAATCGCGTTCAGCGGAGTTCAGCAAAAGCCGCTTTTTGTCAACTGCTGCCGATTTCTGGTAAAACTTAACGCTTACCAACTCATAAGTTGAGTTGGTGAACGTTAATTTAGACATGCGCAGAATTGACGGGTATTCAGGAAATTTACATCCGCTGTATCTCAACTATCCTCAACTGCTTTACGCTGCAAGTTAGCTGCTGAGTACTGGTGAACGTACCTAATTTGATTTTTTTCAATGTTTTCACGCCGCCGGTCATAGCTTTGTTTCAACACATCAAGAAACCGTACAATAAACCGTCATGATTCTGCGCAAATCCAAAAATTTGTGCCCCGAAATTCGTATACAGAGTTGTTTCCAGACCGTTCATGGAGCGATTTTTGAGGTGTTGAAACAAACCTAATATTATTCCGGTTTCTAAGAATATAAATATCGGCGTTATCAGTATAAAATCTCACTTTATGAGAATGCTGTAGATACTTCACGAAATCTCCATATTTTCAGTAAACGTTTCAAATATCTAGCTTTTACTCGTAAGTAAAAGGAAAAGGTTATTCACTTCAATCTTAGCAAATGCTATTAGCAAAAGCTAAATCTACCTAGTAAAAGCTAAAGCTATCACTTAATACTAAAAGTGAAAGCTTAGTTTTTATTCACACTGCCCATTGGATAGCTCTGCTTTTGCTAATTTCAATGATATAAAGTTCCATAGGTTTATCTCTAACAGAGTCACTAAAAGTTTTCCAGCAAAAAAATTTGATCTGTTTTTGTCATAAGAAACAATGTGTTAGAAAGAGACCTTTCTCATTTTCCTTGCAGATGCAATGTACTTTTTTAAAAAATTGTTTCTTATGACAAAACAGACATAGGTAAAAGAGACAAACCCATAGATTTTTATGACATTGCAATCAACAAAAGCAGAGCTTTTCAATGGGTACATTTAGGCGGTGCCAGCGGCTAAACTCAGCCAATGAGCAGGGACTTTATTCCCGAAACCGAGGAACAGCGTTCTCATAAGAACGATTGCTCTGTCATTGTCAGTGTGATGGAAATATGAATACAGACGACGAAGACAGAACCTTCGTTCTCATGAGAACGCTGCTTCCCTGTTGCAAGAATAAAGTCCCTGCTGAGTGGCTGAACTTAGCCGCTAGCACCGCCTGAATGTACCCGATAAGTTATTAATATACAGGGTGTTTAATTCGAAAAAACGTTTGGTTGGTTCAAAATTTAAAAACTATCACTTCTAGAGAGAAACTGACTTTGCTACTGGAATCTACGTAGGAAGATCCATAAGAGCCCGTTGTCACCTTCTCGATAACTTATGAAAGAACCGAGATACAAGGGATGTTCAAAAAGGAACATTTTCAAATTTGTATCTGAAAAACGAAAATGACAATTTTGTTGACGGCATCTTTTATTTGACAGAAAAGTAGCCAACGTTCGCGAAAACCGCATTCTTTTACTTTCAA